AACTAAAGCAAAAATTAGCTATAAATATAGCTAAACACAAACTGTAGTGAAGGTTCGAGTCGCGACTTGACAAAAACTTTAGAAACTAAATCTAAGACAAAATGCAAAACTAAAGCTAAAAGTTGTTAGAAATATAACTAAATACACACTGTAGCAAAGGTTCGAGTAGCGACTTGACTTTTAGGATTTTCACGTGTATGTTCAATTAGCAGGAGTACGTTTGATGAGAAGTAAGGAAACACTGCTGAAATAATTGGTCAATAATAAGAAAGTTAGATAAAAGTGGCATGAAGAATAAAATAACTAACGTAATCGACCTTAAGGTGCGGATGTTACATTGTTCACATGTGTCCCTTATAACATCCTATTTGTGAATTAGATTGTATTTTACACAGAATCTGATAAACGTTTTTAAGGAAAACCATCAATGTTCCTCGTGCTATAATGCACAAACAAAACAAAATATAAAAAACAGTGTCTTTGTTACAACAACAACAAAACAAAATATAAAAAACAGCGTTTGTGTTACAACAACGGCAAATAACAACAAAACAAAATATAAAAAACAGCGTCTATGTTACAACAACGGCAACCAACAACAAAACAAAATATAAAAAACAGCGTCTATGTTACAACAAGGGCAAATAACAACAAAACAAAATATAAAAAACAGCGTCTATGTTACAACAACTGCAAACAACAACAAAACAAAATATAAAAACAGCGTCTATGTTACAACAACGGCAAACAACAACAAAACAAAATATAAAAAACAGCGTCTATGTTACAACAACGGCAAACAACAACAAAACAAAATATAAACAAATATAAAAAAGAAATTGGGTTACGTTTAGTATACCAAAGTTTCACAAAAGCAGTGACTGGATCGTGAAATCTTGAAACTTATAGATTACTGCGAATTGTAAATAATATCATACGGTCACCCAGGAATTGACTGGATCGTGAAGTATACAGTACGTAAATAATACAGTGAATAATTGTTGGTATATTATTGGTTCATCCAAGAAGATACTGGATCGTGAAATCTTCAACCTTACATATTACTACTATTTTATCTTATAGTATTTTATACGTTCTCCCTGTCTTGTAAGGTCTTTAACCTTGTGATGTTCTGCACGTTGTAAATAAAATACTGTTTAGTTTTTACTTGTCTATGTTTTTAATAAACTTTATCATGTGCTGTTCAGTTCATAGTTGTGTATGTTCTTTATTAATCTTTATCATGTGCTGTTTAGTTCTTCGTTGTCCATTTTCTTTAATAAACTTTATAATGTGCTATTTAGTTCTTAGTTGTCTATGTTTTTTAATAAACTTTATCATGTGTTGTTTAGTTTTAGTTGTCTATGTTCTTCAAAAACTTTATCATGCTCTGTTCAGTTCTTAGTTGTCTATTTTCTTTTAAAACTTTATCATGTGCAGTTCCCTTTTTAGTTGTTTATGTTCTTTAAAAACTTTATCATGTGCTGTTTAGTTCTTAGTTGTTTATGATATTTAATAAGCTTTATCATATGCTGTTCAGTTCTTAGTTGTCTATGGTCTTTAATAAATTTTATCATGTGTTGTTTAGTTCTTAGTTGTCTATGTTCTTTAAAAAACTTTATCATGTGTTTTTTAGTTCTAGTTGTCTATGTTCTTTAAAAAACCTTATCATGTGCTCTTTAGTTCTTAGTTGTCTATGTTCTTTAAAAACTTTATCATGTGCTGTTCAGTTCTTAGTTGCCTATGTTCTTTAATAAACTTTATAACGAGCTGTCTGGTTCTTAGTTGTTTATGATATCTAATAAACTTTATCATGTGCTGTTCAGTTCTTAGTTGTCTATCGTCTTTAATAAATTTTATCATGTGTTGTTTAGTTCTTAGTTGTCTATGTTCTTTAAATGCTTTATCATGTGCTTTTCAGTTATTAATTGTCTATTTTCTTTAAAAACTTTATCATGTGCTGTTCAGTTATTAGTTGTCTATGCTCTTTAAAAATTTATCATGTGCTGTTTAGTTCGTAGTTGTCTAGGTTCTTTAAAACTTTATCATGTGCTGTTCAGTTCTTAGTTGTCTATGATCTTTAATAAATTTTATCATGTGTTGTTTAGTTCTTAGTTGTCTATGTTCTTTAAAAAGCTTTATCATGTGCCCTTTAGTTCTAGATGTCTATGTTCTCTAGAAACTTTATCATGTGCTGTTCAGTTCTTAGTTGTCTATGCTCTTTAAAAC